CCCCAAAACCCCAAAACCCCAAAACCCCAAAACCCCAAAACCCCATAATTTGATTAAATTATTGGAAAATGGCTAATTGGACAGCTCGTGATCTAAATACGAATATTCAGGAGCAAGAAGATGTGTTAAATAAAACACCTACCTTCTACGACCTTGCAAATTCGAGTCAAGTTACCATTTCCGATGCTAATCCGAACTTCTTTAACTTCCAAGACAATACTGAAAACAAAATTCTGGAAATTTCAAAAAGCCCATTTTTAATGAAGGAGGAAACCAAGGTGAATAAGAGATACTCTAATAATAAGATTAATAGAATTCGAAAGGTAAACCTGGATGCCTTAAGGAAACCAAATTCTGAAGCAGGAATTCCTCTGAATAAAGATTTCCAATTCAATTACTTCAGGTAGGGAGTTATAGAAAATTTTATGAATTTTAAATTAACTAATACTAAACTTCTCTATCGATAGGTATTTTAAATATAAGCATATGATGAAGAAGTTAAAGAAATAAGATCATGAATGAACTCAGCAGGAATTCAGAATTTAACCCTACCAAGCAAGAGGTCATGGTCAAGAAGTCTTGTTTCAAGGACTTTGAAAATAAATTAAGCATCGTAACTGATAAACTTCAGTATTATACCCAAAAACTCAAGAAAGCAGGAGTTGATGTATCTTAGTCAATTGATTTCATAGGTGAATAACCAGGAGATTGAAGATCTGAACAAAATCTCACCAAAGTTTACAAAAGGTATTCTACTCAGAACAATCTTTGTAGAAACTATAAAGCCCAAGAAAGTATTTAAGAATCCCAACATCAAAACATTTGAGAAGTCTCTTGATATATCAACAAGAAGTAAAAGGAGAGTTAAAGGTAAGAGTCTCTATTCTATTTATAGGAAAGCTTCGTCAGAAATTTAGAAGTCTTTCTACAATGCCTCGACTCAGAAGTAAATAAGAGATGAATGAGAAATTTTAAACTCCAGAAAAACTCTATAGGCAAGGAATATCCTTAATACTCTAGATTATACAAACAGAGGACCTGTGAGGCTACCAAAGAGCATTGTCATAAAATAACAGGCAAAAAATCCAGAGAACTATAATTACGATAAATTCAGAAACTCCAAGATTAACAGATAAAGGAAGACTTCCTAAAATTAACAGAAGGTAGGGTGCATTGCAGATTTGCTGAGAATCTTAATGAAACTAACGATGCCCAATAGGTATAATAAGAGATCAGTAATACGATCACATCAAAGCCGAAAAGGTACGCTTTGTGACAGCTTACAACAAATTTAAACTTTTAAGAATTCTGAAAACAGCTTTAATCTTTAATTTTAGGTAGCAGATTGCGTCAAAGAAAATCCACCAATGATGCCAAATCTTCACGAAGGTACTCTATAACAAGAAGTTCAGTCAGAACTAGAAGAGGGATCACTAAAGAAAGAAGCAGATTTGATGGAAATCTAAGCCCTCATTATGGGAAGAACATATTTACTTGGTAAAATAAGATTACAAATTTTCTCCTAAACTTAGTTCACTTTCTTAAAGTACGAAGGTTTTCAATTTCACTTCTATTTTCAGGGGTTTTGGGGTTTTGGGGTTTTGGGGTTTTGGGGTTTTGGGGTTTTGGGG